TCGGTATGTTTAGTCTTGAGAAAAGAAGACTGGGAGCAGGTGCTAATATCAGTCTTCGAATATATTATTGGCTATTATAAAATGGATGGTTATCAGTTGTTCCTGACTTCTGGGGGTATACAACATCCTCATTTTCCCAGAAAGTCAGGAACTCTATGATTATCATGTGCTCACTGTCACGTGAGTACCCATCCTGATTCACTCAAATCCCACTAAACCATTTAAGATCCAGGCTGATGCCTCAAACAGGTGCAGTATTATCTTGACACGGGGACCCCCACAACCTACTCCTCCCCCTCCCATGCCTTCAAGTGGCTATTAAAGCAGCTTTCAAGGCATGACACCACCTCCTAGAAGGAGCCCAGTTTCCCCATCGAACTCCTAATAGATCCCAGAAACCTGAAGTACTTACAGACAGCTAGATGCCTTAACCAATGCTAGATCTGCAGGTTCTTCCTTGCTCAATGTGACTTTGTGGTAACCTATCACCCAAGGGTGAGAAACGGAAAGGTGGATGCCCTATCCTGCAAAAATAAATAACTCAAAGCTGGTGAAGAGCCCTCTGCCACTATATGCAAGGTGTCCAACTTTGTCAATGGGATGGACTACAGCAGAACTGACATCCTCCATCCACTCCCTACTCCTCGACAACCTTTTTGCAACCCAGATCCGCGAGACCCTGAACGATCTGCGTACCTGACCAGAATCCGAGTTCTGACTACAGAATGGCCTCATCTATCACAAGGGTTGAATTTATGTTCCAGTGGGACAACTGAGGCTTCAGGTATTGAAACTATGCCGCAATTTGCCACTTCCTGAACGATCTGCATACCTGACCAGAATCCGAGTTCTGACTACAGAATGGCCTCATCTATCACAAGGGTTGAATTTATGTTCCAGTGGGACAACCGAGGCTTCAGGTATTGAAACTATGCCGCAATTTGCCACTTCTGGGCCAATTTGGCCAATTCAAGACCAGGAATCTGGTCTCAAGGAGCTTCTGGTGGCCAAGTCACAAGTTTACATCAAGGATTATATAAGGTCTTGCAACCTCTGTGCCCATACCGAGAACTCATGATCAATACCCATAAGTCTCTTCCAAATCTGTCCACACCTCCACAGCCTTGGTTTACTGTATGAATGGACTTCATTGTAGAACTGCCATGATCCCAGGGACACTTGGTAATCCTGGGTGTTTTTGGACCTTATAACAAAGATGGCATACCTCATTCTACACCATACTGTTCCTACTGCATGGAGATGGCTTGACTCTTCCTAGAAAATGTCTTTCACTACGTTGGGTTACTGCCGGGCTGTCAAGATTCCTCCCCCACTCTGAACTCTAGGGTACAGATGTGGGGACCTGCATGAAAAACCTCCTAAGCTTATCTTTACCAGCTTAGGTCAAAACTTCCCCAAGGTACAAAATATTCCACCCGTTGTCCTTGGATTGGCCGCTACCACCACCAAACTAATACTGGTTACTGGGGAAGAGCTGTTTGGACGCGTCTTTCCCCCCAAAATACTTCCCAAAACCTTGCACCCCACTTCCTGGACAAGGTTTGGTAAAAAGCCTCACCAATTTGCCTAGGTGACTACAGACCCAGACCCTTGGATCTTAAGAACAATGAACAATCCTCCCAACACTTGCACCCCCCCTTTCCTGGGAAATGTTGGATAAAAAGCCTCACCAATTTGCATAGGTGACCACAGACCCAAACCCTTGGATCTGAGAACAATGAAAAAACATTCAGTTTTCTTACAAGAAGACTTTCAATAAAAGTAGAAGTAAATAGCAATAAAGAAATCCCCCCTGTAAAATCAGGATGGTAGATATCTTACAGGGTAATTAGATTCAAAAACATAGAGAACCCCTCTAGGCAAAACCTTAAGTTACAAAAAAGATACACAGACAGAAATAGTTATTCTATTCAGCACAATTCTTTTCTCAGCCATTTAAAGAAATCATAATCTAACACATACCTAGCTAGATTACTTACTAAAAGTTCTAAGACTCCATTCCTGGTCTATCCCCGGCAGAAACCAGTATAAGACAGACACACAGACCCTTTGTTTCTCTCCCTCCTCCCAGCTTTTGAAAGTATCTTGTCTCCTCATTGGTCATTTTGGTCAGGTGCCAGCGAGGTTACCTTTAGCTTCTTAACCCTTTACAGGTGAGAGGAGCTTTCCCCTGGCCAGGAGGGATTTCAAAGGGGTTTACCCTTCCCTTTATATTTATGACACGGGCATTGTATTAAACCTGGGTCCCCAGGTCATCCCCCAGTTCTTGTGGGAATTTCTCAGACTCCTTGGTACTGAACCCCTCACCTTGTCTTGCCTATCATCCACAGAGTAATGGACAAACAGAGGAAGTCAGTCAAATCTTGGAGGGGTATCTTCACTGGTCTTTGAGTTACCACTGGCTTCCCCTGCTGCGCCATGCCAAATTCACATATTACAATGCAATCCATGCCTCGATCCAGCATAACCCATTCTTTTGCAAATTGTGGCTTTCACCCCCACTTCCACCCAGACTGGCCCATGAGTTCCCCAGTATTGGCCGCAGCGGATTTAGCCTCCTGCCTACCACAGATGCACCAGGAGCTCAAGGAACACTTGCAGTCTGCCAAAGAAGTCTATAAACACCATATGGACCAGGATCATTAGGCTTTTTCCAATCTGGTCACAGGTGACAAGGTGTGGCTTTCTGCCCAGAACCTTAAATCGAACTATGTATCTGCCAAATTAGACTCCCAATACATGGACCCCTTCTGGATTACAGAATGGGTACACCCAGTGGCCTTCAGGTTACAGCTGCCCAAGTGCATGAAGATCCATCCCCTCTTTTATATGTCACTTTTAAAAAACCCTGCACTAAAAATCCAAACCCAAGCCAATCCAACCTGCCACTGACCCCCAAAACAGTCCATGGACAGGAGGAGTGTGTGGTCTACTGAATCCTCACCCTTGGTTAGTTAGATTCCAGCATCTGGTGGACTGGGAAAGCTACAGTCTGGGTGAGTGGTCTTGGGAACCAATAGAGAACATCCATGCCCTGGACCTATTGCAAAAGTTCCACCAGACATACTCTGAGAACCTGCCCCCCAAGGCCTTTGAGGGGGCAGGTACTGTTAGGAATCGGAGCCTGCACTAGAACCAGTCTCCAGGCAGCCTAATGAGCACAGCTGGCCTGTAGTAGCTTCCGGACTGGGTACATTGCCTGATTAGCTAGAAGAATCAGCAGAGTGATTCTTAAGCCCATCAGCAGTTGTTCAGCAGCAGCTCAAAGCATTTACTTGTGGCTGCAATAACTCCAGCTCCTGCTCCTGCCTTGTTCCCAGTCCTGCTCCAGCTCTGCTACTGCCTTTGACCAGCCTTGCCCCTGCCCTGACTCATTCCACATAACCCGGTCCTGACCCTCAGATCTGATTCCTGACTACCGACTCCTGCTCCAACCACTAGACACTACCAGCCACGTCCCAGTCATTGATACTCCTGTTCATACACCCAGAATGACTTTTTCTTTTTTGCCACGGCATCACATTTTGTCTTATATTTCATTGGTAATCCACTATAACCCCTAGATCTTTTTCAGCAGAACTACTGCCTAGCCTGTTATTTCCCATTTTGTAGTTGTGCATTGGATTTTTTTCCTTCCTAAGTGTAGTACTTCACATTTGTCTTTATTGGATTTCATCTTGTTGATTTCAGAACAATTCTCCAATTTATTTAGGTTTTTTTATTTCTAATCTTGTCCTTCAAAGTGCTTGCAACTAGCTTTGCATCCTTTGTAAATTTTAGAAGCATACTCTCCACTCTATTATTCAAGTCATTAATGAACATACTGAACAGTATGTGACTCAGAAATGACTCATGCAGAACTGCACTAGATATGTCTTTCCAGCTTGACAGCAAACCATTATAAATACTCTTTGAGTACAGGTTTCAGACTGGTAGCCATGTTAGTCTGTATCAGCAAAAACAACGAGGAGTCCTTGAGTACAGTTTCTCAACCAATTATGCACCCATCTTAGTATTTTCATCTAGACCACATTTTCCTTGTTTGCTTAAGAGAATGCCCTGTGAGACTCTGTCAAAAGCTTTACTAAAATAAAAATAAGTCATATATACTCTTTTCTGCCCCACCCAGTAACCCTGCCAAAGAAAGAAAATAGGTTGCTTTGGCGTAATTTGTTCTTAAGTAATAGCCAATATAGATTTGTTATCATCCTATTATCCTCGAAGTGCCTACAAATTGATTGTTTAATAATTTGTTCCAGTATCTTCCCATATATCTAATTTAGACTGATTGTCTATAATTCCGCAGGTCCTCTTTGTTCTTTTTTAAGGAAAGATACCATGTTTGCCCTTATTCAGTTCTCTGTGACCTCACCCGTTCTCTATGAGTTCTTGAAGATAATTGCATGTGCCTAATGATGCACATGAGTGGTCTTTTTGAAGCCAAACTTAGTTAGGCATGTGCTTACAGGATCAGGGCCTCTTGTCTCATCTGATAACATAATTCCACTAATTCTCCAGTTACTCACAGTCCTCCAGCAAAAACGTGGTAGACAACGTAATGCAAAAACAAGCAGGAAAAAAAAAACTTGGCAGAAAGTTCATTTCTTTTTTTTTAAATACATCATCAAAAACAAAGAAAGAGCTCAAACATATTTTTCTCCTTTATAGGCCACTTTCAAAATCAGGAATGCATATTCTCCTTTTGAGGCCATGTTCTGACACCCATACTCATATTAACTTGTACCTTCCTGCACAGAAATTAATTTTGGCTACTTCTGGAGCAAGGTACTGAAAGGTAGAATCTGTCTCTTTTGAGTCCAAATGTAAACTGTATTAATTTTCACTGACTTGCAATTGATTTAAACTAATTGTAACTCTGCAAAACCTTTTCATTTTAATGTTATTATAAAACACTTTGATGTGAAAGCTTAAGTTGTTCTATCTGATTTATGATTAGTCTATTTCATTTTTGGAGTTACCTGATTTGTTCATCTCTTTAACCCGAACCTCTGGATTCCAGCAGTTCTCTTGGATAACTCTGAAAACCTTTCCCTCCTTCATCATTTTTGCCTCGCCCTGTGAAATGAAATTTTTATTACAGTAATACAGTTGTATCAAGATATTATGGCCTAAATTCTACTCTGTTAAAAGTATGTGGGGCTGCCAATGCCCATCCAGTGCTAGAATTCAGGCCCTTCATTTTTGTTCAATAGAAAAAAAAATCCAAAAAAATATTTAGAAATGTCATTTGTAATGCAAAAGGACAATATCAAGGTCTCTTTTTATAATTTAAAAACAATCCTCTCTCTGTTGCTAATATCCTTTGTTATCCTGAAACATTTTCCTTAACTAAAGTTTGTCCTCCATCATTCAGGCGCCTGAGTTTGACATCACAGTGATGCTTATGAGTGCTGTTTATTGACCATGAGCCAAGTTCTGCCGTCAGGTTTGTCCTATTCCTTTGGAAGTGAGTGTGCTCAAAAATGATCTTAGTAACTCCAGCGAGAATTCAGAGTAACTCTATAAATTCAGTAGAGTTCTGCAGATTCATCCTGAACAATTGAGATAGAATTAGCCCCATTGAACTGCAGGTTGAATTTTCTTCTTAGAAATAAAAAAAAGAATACGGAAGCATTCGTATCAGGGGAAAAGATCCAATATAAAACAATTACCTGAACTATAGCAGTACAGTTTTAATGCAAAGCCCTCTCAGGGTTATGTAAGTCAAAATATTACCAAGGTCACTAACTTTGACTGTGTCCCTTTAATTGAGAGAAGAGAGAGCGATGCAACACTTCTGACTTTAATTTTTGATTGGTTTGATAACGGGCCAAAGACACTGTGTAGTCACTGTCTTGTCAAATCAAGCCAAGGAAAATGAATGTTGCAACTGTTCATAGTCACATGGTCTTATGGATATGTTATTAGAGCTAGTGATTCAACACCAAAAGCAACTGCAACAGTCAATTTTCCTATTGTTTTATTCTTAAACGAATTGATGAGATGTAACCCATCAATACCTGCAAGGCGAGAGTTCAGAGATACTCTTAGCTGCTTCTGTTGGGTAATGGGAATGCATGAAAGTTGAGCTAAGGCAGACAGCTGGATTAAGTTGTGTCTGGACCCTGCAGATTCCACCTGTGTGTGGTAGGGAAGCATGGGTGTAAAGCAGACATGTTGGGGGTGAGGAGTGATGGGATCTGCGATTACACTGATTTAGTGGCTGGGAACCCCTCTGTAAAGGGTGTGGAGGAATAGCACAGTGGATGGCAGCTAGATGCAATGAATCCCTAAAGCCTGCTCCAGTATGAGGGGGCACATTCTCTCCAACCCACACCTAGTTTCCTCCCCCAACACACAAAATCAGTTGACTGACACTCCTGGAGGAGAGGTGAATTTCACTCATTGTACACCTATTCTGCAATATAAAATAACAGTTAATTCAGACTGTTCCTTGTGATGAACATAGACATAACATTTCTTAAAATAATAAAATTACACTCGTTGCGGCAGGCATACTCAGTTGCATGTCTCCTCTCTATGAGGAGTCAGACTGTTTTTAACCTTGAATTTGTTATTAGCTTCATACATCATTCACAAATATATTTTCCTGATAAATATTTTAAGACATCTTTTTTCTCTCTCCCTGTCTGTGCCACCTTGGCAGAATACCAGAGTGAGCTGGCAGCAAGATCACAGTTTGAGAAAATGACTCCCAATGTTATAGACAGTAATTACAGCTCCACAGTCCTGTTCCTCTGGCAAAATCCTTTAAAGTCTGTTAGAGTTGATTTTCCAAATAGAAAGGGCTCTCTTAGGCATACGTTCCAATAATTTCAAAAATTCAGTATCAAGCCACTGTTGATTATTGTGTAATATGCATGATATTTGGGGGTAAGGGAAAGGCCCAGCAGAACTGAAGATTTTGTCATATAAAAATAGACTACGTGCCCTTTATTGAGTTGCCACTGGGAGTATTTCAGTGAGCACAGTAGCCTTTCAATTCTTTCTTCAGACTCTGCTAGCCTTTAAAGATCTCATATGTATTATCTTCTATTAATACTGAAAACAGTGTTAGACAGATTTTAAATTTCACCAAGGGACCTATCTGCTGTTAATACATAAATACTAAAAGATAAAAAGAAACCCTTTCCAGGCAATATTAGGCTATGCAATATGAAAGAGTTTCTAAAAAGCTAAGTGCCAGGCTATAAAGAATTGGGATTGCTGCTTTCATCTGCGTTAATTGAATTTTCTGTGATCACGGGTGTGCCACTGATCAATCCTGAACCCTCATATTTGTGTATAAACTCAGGAAAAGCCTGATTTACAGAACAAACTGCCGTTCTCCTTATTCACCTGACTGAATTCACTCAGATCAATGAGATTACCCATATGAGAAGGCAAGCAAGATTTGGCCCAGCAAAAAAATGAGAGCTGGAAATCCAGACATATTGCTACAGTCTCTGGGCACTACCACTAAAATGCACATGATGCAGGCACCTTTAAAATACAAAATTATGTAGTAATTTTGTAAAGTTAATTGGAAACAATTCTCTGAGGTTTTGCAGTAATGATGAACACATGGATCCTGAGGAAATTGTTCATGTTTCCAAAGCAATGGCTAGAGAGAAGCCATCAGACAAGGTACTATGAGACCTCTATTCTCAAGGCTTAATCAATTTACCTAGGACATAAGTTAAGATTTGTACGACATCTCCTAACAGCACCTGGTGTTTTATGCTTTAACAAATCTATGTGGAAATTAAGAGACAGATTTAAAAATCAGTTGTCTAAAATCAATTGAGCTACATGGCAAAGTTTCCCATCATCAGGCTCATCAGTTTCATTCAGAATTTCACTCCTTTGAAAAAATACATAATTAATTTTTGTATGGTTTGATTATTTTTTACCGAGTCTTATGAGAAGCTTTTTCCTCCTCTCATCCTAAAACACATTTTCCCTTGCTCCAGTTTTGTGCAAAGGACTTTACTCTATTCCCTCCCAACGACAGTAACATCCAACCTACTCTGACAGAGGCAGCACTGGATAGCCCATAGCGTTGCTGCTACTAGCTTGCCACAGGATTCCAACTGAATCTTTAAAAAATTCCATGGTTTATAATCCCAGTGATGTTGATGACATTGGAATGTTCTTGTAATAAACAGATGTTGCATTTTATCAAACTCCTCATTTTCATTACTCGTGTGCTCACACACATGCACACACACAGACATACATTGGCTGTGATTTTCCCAGGTGCCAAGGGATTTGGATGTCCACTTCCCGTTATGGAGCCCGGGGTATAGATTATATATTAATTATATGGATTACTTAAGAATTCCCAATTATCACTTTGAGGGTTGACAGGTTCTTGTCCCAAGATCAGTATTATTCAAATCTAGTAAGATTAATAAGAAAATTCCTAAATTCATCAGGTAGCTTGGAAAGTCTCCAGCTATGTTTTACATAACACATGTATTAGTTATAATTCTTGTGAGAATCATGGGAGTGAGTTTTGGGTTTTTTTTAAAAAAGCAGAGCAGCTCAGTTACTGTCTTCATGAGACTAAACCTGAAGGCTGAGGCAACACCCTGAAAATGCCAAGCACTAGATATTTATTCTTTTTGTGTCGTTGTGTACATCTAGTCACTCAAATATTACTCATCCCTCTCTCTCTCAGTTCAGAGCTCCTATTTGGAACTCATGTCTGAACCTCAGAAGATGGGAGCAGATTAACTCTAACTCTGTCTTGTTAAACTCACCACCTAAACTGCCAACCATTTAATAATGTAACTGGTTTTAGTTAGTTGACTTAAATAGGAGTGTGCACATGCTTAAAGTAAAGCATGTGCTCAAGCTCTTAGCTGGACTAAGGACATCTCTCCTTTTTGCACTTTCAACTGTGAATCTTGTGTCTTGCTGCTCATTGTATCTAAATAATTCTTCCTATTCTTACCCACTAGATACCTCCTCCTTTTCTTCGGATCCCTCCTTAGCTAACTACCTATGCATCATCACAGTGTGAGCACCTCACAGTCATTAATAGATTGTATCCTCACAACAACTCTGTGTGGCAGGGATATGGGAAACTGAGGCAGGAGCCGCACAGGAAGTATGTGGCTGTGATGTGAACTGAATACAAGTTTCTTAAATCCAGTCCAGTTCCCTGTGTACTCGATCATCCTCCTTATCCCACCTCTTCAAGCACCCACTCTTTCTTAACAAAATAAAATCCTGGGACCCAATCCAGCACCTACTGAAGTCAGTGGAAAGCTCCATTGACTTCACTGGGCAATTGGATCAGGCTCCTGAAGTGTTAGCTTGCCTTTTTGCTTGTGTTCATTTGTCCTGTATTATTTACCTCCTCAGGGCAGGCTTTGTGTCTTGTGTGTAAACTTATGGTGCTATAAAATATTTTATTTATTATTATTCCCAACAAATTATTCTTAAATTTTATGTTAAGGGGTCAATTGTTGCTAGCTTTGCACAGGTCTGTGAGGCATAAGGAGGGAGTATAAGGAACCTTCCCTTCCTTGTGAACCTGAGGGGGCTGGATGGATTGGCAGTCCCTGTGCTCCACTGCGGGCCAGGACTGCTCCAGGCTAGTTCCATTAATAATGCTAATCTCTCCAGAAGGCTGGGGGCCTGGGAAGGGAGCTGGCTCATCCTAGAAGGGAGTGTATGTGTTCTATCTGTGCTGCTAGCGGCATCTTGAGATACAATGCATTCTGTATCGCCTGCTGAGGCAGGTCACTTCTGCACTACCTCCTGCTGCAGGTTCTGGATATATACACCACAGCTAGAGCAGGTTGGAAAAAAAATCAGAAAAATGAGTTTTTCAAAGGAATTTGCGAATTTATCAAAACCAAAATGTCCTATAGAGATGGTTTGATTTTGACAACATTCTAACTAAACACTCCCTGCCACATAAGTGTCTTGGAGCCCACCTGACTCCTTGGTTGCCTGCCTGCAAGTTGGGGATCCCCAGGCTCCCATGGTCAGCAGCAGCCTACAAGGCGGACTGTCTCAGAACTTCATTCCTATTTGGAGAGAATTATGGGGGTTTTGTTGAAAATTGAAACAAAGCCAGATTTTGAAATAACAAAATCCTCTGGAAAATGGAATTACCTTTCTTCGCACAGATTTAGCCACGGAACTGAAAAATCAATTATGCACACAGCTCCATGTACAGTATGGCTCCAAAAGGATGCATACTGTTCCGACTGAAACCACTGTTCTGTCTTTGCTCTCCTTCTTATAAAGCTGAGGAATGAATTACTCTTTCTTCTTTTTGAAAGATCTTTGTTGTAGTTCTTTAACTTCTATAATAATATGATTAGATAGTTCCATTTGTGTTTTCTTTTCCTCCTATAATGACAGGTTTCAGAGTAGCAGCCATGTTAGTCTGTATCTGCAAAAAGAAAAGGAGGACTTGTGGCACCTTCATCCAATGAAGTGAGCTGTAGCTCACGAAAGCTTATGCTCAAATAAATTTGTTAGTCTCTAAGGTGCCACAAGTCCTCCTTTTCTTTTCCTTCTAGACAGCCATATAATGTCAGAAGACCTGGGTCAATTTTTAGGTTAAGTTCTAAAATTGGTGATTCTATGGAAAAAAAAGTTTTTAATTTGATCTAAGTTATGCTTTTTTATTATTAAAATCTGTTTTTTAGAGCTACCCATTCTGAATACAGTAGAACCTCAGAGTTACGAACACCTCAGGAATGGAGGCTGTTCGTAATTCTGAAATGTTCGTGACTCTGAACAAAAGGTTATGGTTCTTTCAAAAGTTTACAACTGAACATTGACTTAATGCAGCTTTGAAACTACTATGCAGAAAAAAATGCTTCTTTCCCTTTATTTTTGTAGTAGTTTACGTTTAACACAGTACTGTATGGTATTTACTTTTTTTTTTGTCTCTGCTGCTGCCTGGTTCCAAATGACGTGTGTGGTTGACTTGTCAGTTCATAACTCTGAGGTTCTACTATATTAGGCTGAGGTAATTATGAAAACTGCTAGATAATGTTTCAAATTGAGATTAGAAGGATGTTAGGTCATTTTATACCCTATCTCAGTCCTTTAACAGAAAGATCTATGGTGATATTTCAGTGTTTGGAGTAATCTTGCTTCCTAAAAAGGTGTACCTTAATGACACGGTAAGGTAAACATTGGCCATCAACCTTATTGGCACTCTACTTTTTAAAGGGTACAGGTGGCTGACACCACAATAATGCCGTAGGGAATGAGAACCAGCGTACCTTGCAATAGTGGTCCAGTTGAACCCATCCGCCATAACCATATCTCTGTGAAGGGAGAAGGAAAAGACCAGTGATTAGACAGTGGTATGGAATGAAAATCAAAGGCTCAGTTCATGCAGCTAGACAGATCCAGGTGCAAGATGAACCTCATGGATAAACCTTTCCCTTCCAAATAGCAGCATATCCCTCAGGTGGACCCAGAATAGGACAAAGAGGAGGGAGAAGTAAGCAGCAAGAAAGAAACTCAAAGAGTCACGAAGGAAAGAAGAGGAGGAGAAGAACTAACATAAAATAAATAAAACAAAAATATCCACTGCAGCAGTGTGGAAGAGACAATAGCTTTCTGTGGGAATGCCAGCTGCTTAGGTACCATAGATAGTCATCTAAGAAGTAGTTAAGACAGACTCATCCCCTTTTAAGAGTCTTTTCCACTGACTTCTTGAATTTCTGATTCATTTTCATGGTTAATATCCTTTTAGAGCTTTATTAGCTAAAAGTGGATGCAAAACCACATCTTTTTTAGGCTGTCAAAAGTGGGACTGTTTCATCTGATGAAAGGCAGCTGGGAAGGGTAGTGCACTTACATACTTATGGTGCACAAATGGTGTTAATTAGCATTGCTTCACTGAATTGAGTGGAACTACATTGATTTACACCATCTGAGGATCTAACACCGGATATATGCCTCCATGTTTGGGAGAAACCACGTCATATGTGGTGTGTATTACATGCACCTATGTAGCTGTACTTCATCCACATAACCTTACACATACCCTCATTTAGCATCCAACTAGCTATTTGCACAGCACTCTTCACAATGATGTTATCTTCATCTGCACAGTGTTTTCTGTTCCAAAGATGTACGTATGGCAGATTCAGTTAGGTAAGGTTAAGAGATTTTCACCTGAAAACCTCAGTTAAATACCCTGGGTTTGGAGAAAGCTTCTTGAAGCTCTGAATACATATCCAGAACAGGTAATAACAATTGAGAATTGCCAGTCTCCCCCCCACACCCGTCCAGAATAAGTTAATAAAATGGTTACACAGTAAATGTTACACGACAAATTAACCGAACAGTATAGATAGAAAATCTGAGAGGAACATTTGATGAAATGTGTGTGGGAATCTGACAGTGGTTTCCAAACATCTTGCCACTTTAGACAGTTATTAAGATTGATAAGAAAAACTGTATTTTACCATTAGATATAAGACAAACTTCCAAGTATTTATGTCATTTTGAATTGTTTAGGATGCTTTTCTCCTTAAGAAAGGCAGGCATTCGTAAACCACAAATGAATACTCCGAACCCAAGGGCATATCTAGAAAGCTGAACATTTGCATTATTTTTGGAGTGTAGCCAATTACTGCATAGCGCCAGTAAGATCAGCTCGTGAACTTTCACAATTACTATAGTCGCAAAAGCTTTCCTTTGTGCATGACTTTAGCACATATTCCTTGATTTAATGGCAAAAATTCATTAAAATTTCTGGCATCTGGACCCTGCAAGGTGCTGACCTGAGGGTGCTCAGCACCTTGTAGAGGGAGCACAGAGCTTCACAGGATCTGGCCATAACATAATCCTCTTTAGGGCTCAGTCCTTCAAGGTGCTGATCACCCTGTGGTCCAGCAAAACACCCAAGTATATGCTTAGCTTTAAGTACATAAATTGTTTCTTTGACTTCAGTAGAACTATTCAGATGCTTAACTTTAAATATGTGCTTGACTGTTTTGCTGGATTGGGTTAGTACACTTGCAAGATTGAACCTTTAGCCTCTGGTTCAGTAAGATACCTAAGCATGTGTCTAAGAACTGATTTTAAGATGCCTGACTCACATGGTTAAGTACCTTACTATATTGGGGCTGTACCTTACTGTACAGAATAGTATTTTAGGACAGAAACAACAACCAAATGAAGTATGTGAAGGAAAATAAGAGATGAGAAATGATCCAGCACAGATCCTAGCAAACTGCAATTTGTTAATCATTAGCATGAAGATGTATTGATTATGCCTTTCAGATTCCATGATTCAGCAGCAAGGCTGAAGGTCACCACCTTCTGCCTGTTAATATTTAATCAGGAGAGATAGGCTTAAAAGATACAAGTTACATGTCCATTGAGTCTCCCAAAGAGGTTTAAAGTTCTTTGAATTAAAAATAAACCCCCCCACCAGAAGTTTATTTTCATTTACTTTTTTAAATTGTAAGATTTGAAATGATATAAAATAATGAAATATGATGATAGATAGTCAGAATTTCCTATTTTTTCTATAAAGTAACATTTCGCACGAAATTGGACAATTACTCATTAACACATCAGCATAAGCAACATTATGATCCTGCACATCCTATGCAGGCAGGCAAATCAATAATTGACTTCAAGTATAAATAAGGCCTTTGACTTCAGCCAGAGATGCAGTTGACTGTGGTATGTTGATATATTTATTTACACCAATTTAAATTTACATACCATGAAAACTGTGTTTTACCAGGGACACATAGGGTGTGAGCCAAAGTCCACTGAAATAAATGAAAAGCCTTCCATTGACCTCAATGGGCTTTGGATCAGCTCCTAATTATGATTATGCAACTGTGCAGATAACAGAAGTACTATACAGCTCAACCACATAGACAATAAATCAAATAGTCAATGATTTATTTTTTTTTTTAACCAGCTTTCCCCCTCATGCCCTCAGGGATTAACTGGATGCATTGCATACTCTTCATTCAAGCATTTCACTGATCACTTTTTCACTTCACTTACTCAAAATTACTAAAAAAAGAACAGGAGTACTTGTGACACCTTAGAGACTAACAAATTTATTAGAGCATAAGCTTTTGTGGGCTACAGCCCACTTCGTCGGATGCATAGAATGGAACATACAGTAAGAAGATATATATATATATATATACACATACAGAGAAGGTGGAAGTTGCCATACAAACGGTAAGAGGCTAATTAATTAAGATGAGCTATTATCAGCAGGAGAAAAAAACTTTTGTAGTGATAATCCAGATGGCCCATTTAGATAGTTGACAAGAAGGTGTGAGGATACTTAACGTGGGGAAATAGTCCACAAAAGCTTATGTTCTAATGAATTTGTTAGTCTCAAAGGTGCCACAAGTACTCCTGTTCTTTTTGCGGATACAGACTAACACAGCTGCTACTCTGAAACCCATCAAAATTACTAGTTACTTTTGAAAATGTTGGCCCATACATTTGGGGTTATAAAGAATTCAGCAAGAGGAGTGAAAAAGCAGTTCTAACCAGTTTAAGAGAAAGTTTTCCTTGCAATATGACCTCTTCCTGTACAAGGCATCACTAATTATACTGCATAGCTTTGGGGTTTACTTTATCTTCTATATTCTGGTGCTGATATTAGACTTGGCTCTTTATTTTCAACTGTCTGATTTATAAGCCTTCTGTGAGGCTTCATATTTAAACTTCACTGCCTTTTTAAAGTTCTAGCTTATTTGGATATAGATTTTCAAATCCCTAAGCCTAGCAAGAGAAAAGACATTTTGTTAACTTTGGCATTATTGATTCAAGACTGTTTTTTCCCATGGTCAAGAGACTCTTTTCTGTGGAATAATCAGAATCTCCAATGATTTATGAAAAGCTTCTGCATAATGGTGAGATGTTAGCCACTTCTTATTGTTGGAGGGCATAGGTGAAATCCCAGATTCTCGCCACAAATCTTCTGCCTTTTCAAGATAATCAAGAGCTTGGCAACTTTTATTTTGTTTATAGTCAGTTTGCTTAAGGAGCATTTTACAAAGACTAGTCCCACTTTGCACTGTTAGCAAAAAGATGCTACGGACTTCAGGGATGGTCTAGGTCGATTTGGTCCTGCCTCAGTACTGGGGACTAGACTAGATGACCTCTTCTACAGGCCTAAATTTTAATGATTCTATGATTTACATATATGTTACGGGTTTCCAAGTTCATAGGTGAACAAACCCAACACAAAGTTTTCTATGATCTTAGGTTCAAGATCCAGTAATGCTGATGCCAACAATTTAATGTAAAAATTATAAGATAGTACTGCATGTGCATGTGACAGAGCTAACGGATCAGAAAACATGTTACCTTCCAATCAGTTCTATCTGTATTATTGTTACTGTTAAGTATCAGAGGGGTAGCTGTGTTAATCTGTATCCACAAAAACAACAAGGAGTCTGGTGACACCTTAAAGACTAACAGATTTATTTGGGCATAAGCTTTAGTGGGTAAAAAACCCACTTCTTCAGATGCAATGCTTATGCCCAAATAAATCTGTTAGTCTTTAAGGTGCTATCGGACTTCTAGTTGTTTTTATTGTTACCGTTGACAGTTTTAAAGAAATAATTACGTATGTATTCTTAATTCCAGGTTCCATTGCTACTCATTTTTGAATAAATAAATTGCAGTTTTCTGTCCCTCTCTGACTAACCTTCAACCTCTGCTACCCTGTGTACTTAACATTCACAGAAACACAGAGCTAACAAACCTGCAAAAACTACTTTTGAAATCTCTGTCATCAGGAACAAATTGAAACCTCAGTATATCAAAGGAAGAGAGACCCACAGTGTAAAGAGAGCCTCAGCTTGTGGCTGGTGCCTAACAGCAAGGTTGAAATCACAGTATTCTTTTGCAGTCAAAAGATAGGCACAATGAGATAAAGTGGTTTAATATCATTGACAGACAAAAGCCTAGTAGTCTTTCATTTTAACTACCATGAAGATAGAATGGAATAAGGGTCTTAAAACAGCTATTGGGGGGTCAGGGGGGAAAAAGCAGCTAATTCAGTTCTCATCCTCTCTCTTAACTAATCTGCTAGCTTGCCTCAAATGGAAATATATGAGCTTTAAAAATCACCTACCCTCAACTTGTTTAATGGAGCTGATCATACAAAGTCACAGTTTTATCAGAAAATAATTTCAGAAATTATATTGTTTCATTATGTGATTTTTTTAAAAAAGTGACTTTACTAATTCTCTACATTGCTGCAGAATTAGTAAAAAAGGATAAAATATATATTCCATAGTGTTCAACACTGTTAAGGCTA